AAACACCTGCTCTCAAATGGTTTCCCGCTTGTGCTCTGGATGAATAAATAGGTGGGACATTTTTTCAGAACAGGTTTGCACATTGTAGAAGCCCCCCTATGTTGACATAGCAAGATACAAAGAACGTCCTGCCTGGAAAGTAATGGTTTGCAGGTTTTATTTTCATTGGATGTCATTACATGAGGTAATGGCAGTAACAGTGTGTATTTAGCTGTCAGGTTATTCTATTTTGAAGTCCTCTTTTAATCTCTTTATATTTCTACCACAGCATCTTTATTTAATCTAGAGGTTTAAAGAGATCTAAAGCCTTTAGAAAAGGTCACTAACACAATCATTGCAGCCATATATTTATAAAGACAAGATCTTGTCAAATGAAACAAAAATGCAACCAATATTCCTAAAAGTTAATTTTACCCCTTTCCACATTTGCTTTGCTTTTATCTTTTACATTTTAAATTATATAACATTAAAGACACTTGAAAGCATACTTAAAAGTAATTGTATTTCACATTTTTAGAGATATGGAGCTAGTACACAATCAAAGGTGCGTTTTTAAAAGAAGTCTCTTATACTCACCAAGGCTGCTTTTATTTGATTAAAAAATACAGTAATATTGTGAAATTTTCGATTTGTAATATGTTTTAAACTGTAATTTATATTGATGGCAAAGCTACTCCAGTACTCCATTCTTCGTGTCACATTATCATTCAGAAATCATAATTTATTCATACATATAAAGTGTGTGTGTGTGTGTGTCGTGTGTGTGTCGTGTGTGTGTGTGTGTGTGTGTTCTTGTTTATGCTAGGATAGTAAAACCTGAAGTTTTTGACATTGTGGGGACTGGCCTGTGGTCCCCACGAGGGGAAAAAAATTATTAAAAATAGTAAATGATGTTTAGTTGAAAGTGTAACAATGCAAACAGGTTTTCTGTAAAGGTTAGGGTTAGGGTTGAGTTAGGGGATAGAAAATATTGTTTGGTCAGTATAAAAGTAATAGAAGTCTATGGAAAGTCCCCACACTTCACAGAAACCTAACATGAGTGTGTGTGTGTGTGTGTGTGTGTGTGTGTGTGCGTGTGCGCGTGCATGCGTGCGTGCGTGTAGCATTAACCTCATGTAACAGTTTAGCTTGCATCTGGAGTAGCATATTACTGTTGCTTGTTTCCCAACACGTGGAAAAAGCTAAATTGCAACTGGGAAACTGCAGAGAAAGAATCTATTTGTTTTTCCAAGTTCACACAGTTCCCCAGCATGCACAGTTTACTCGATGAAAACAAACCTACATCAACTTTTCATTCCCGTTATTTACTAGATGATGCATGACAGATTAACCCAAGGAACCATGAATATTCCAAAATATTAGCTCACACAGTGTGGCGTGTTGGTCTTTTCTGCATTCTTCTCCCCTCTGTTATCCAGAGTGTTCTATGCTATGATATCAATTACCATAGGAATCTAATAACACAGAAGACAGAGAGAGAGAGATGACCTCTTGACCTAACAACAACAGTGTATTGCTCCATATTGTTTATTTTATTGGGCCCAGGTTAAAGCCTTACGGAATGTGCTGAGATGCATTCATTGTCAGCAGGTCATGTGGGTGAAGATCAGCATGATCGAGTTTGAGCAATCATTCCTAAAGCCAGGCAAAATAAATACAGCAACAGGGCCATGCTGGCACTCTTTGCATCTTTTATTTTTCCTTTTGGAACCCTCCACCCAGCTCTTCCTGACACACACAGACACACACACGTTTGAATAACATCTATGCTGTCTAATTCTTGCTGACCCTACTTCCATATGATTAAACATGACCCCTTGTACCAAATGCAACTGCTATCAGAGGCTAAAAGACTGGAAAACTAATGAGAGACCACCCACCCACTCAAAGACTTCAAATAAGTCCTCTCTATGTGCCCCATTGTTATCATACTACATCAGTTTTGTGAATATCACCTTTCCTTGCTGCTCTTTTTGCCTTGGCTTGTTAGTAGCACAAATGTAGATGGACTCAGAAGTTGTTAGTATGCACATTGATTCTGTGTCATTCTTGGACTCTGATCAAGGATTAGTTTCAAAGGGTTATTTTGATCTAAATGTAAATTATCTAATAGACGTCATTTACAGATTTTCATGAGAATGAAGTCACCGTCACAGCACATCTTGAACTCCACTCAAAAATGTCTCGCCAGGCACACATCATCAGTTACCAGATATGATGTCACCAGCAATGCCCTTATTTGGGTAGAGCAAATGCATGTCAACACATGCATCATCTCTTTGAAAATCTACGTCTTTATTTTTAGTCTTAAGATGCCTGACATTTAAGAGTGACCACAATAAAGTAAAAGACAAAGAAAAGAAGTGCTATTCACAGTGGATCTGAAAAACTTGTATACCGTTTTCAAGAAAAGTTTCAAATAGATCACTTTAAAAAGTGTCATCTGGTATAACCAAGTCAATATAGGTCTACTCAAGTGAATGTACCTGATCATTATTTTCTTGCCTTGCATGAAAAGGTTAAATTATGTATTATTTTGAGAGACGTATGGATATTGACAGTCATGAGGGACTGTGGGGATCATCTCTATATATTATATTATATTATATTATATTATATTATATTATATTATATTATATTATATTATATCACTTTTTTCCTGCATGTTTCTGCATGTTGGTCACACTATGACTTTAATTTGATGGGTACATTTTTTCAGATATTAATAAGCAGTGAAGCAGTTTTGTAATATTTTTGTTGTTTGTATTTTTCTAAAAACAAGTAATAAAAGATTATTATACCAAAATTATAAAAACTTTATGGAACTACCAATTATTTTAAAGAATTTTTTTTACATTATCAGGACAATTGTATCACCCTGATACTTTTGGCCCATAAAATAATTCATTTTAATTTAGAAATTAATGTTCATCATCATAGACTGTGTTTAAGCCACTGTATGTATGAATTACATTTTACATTTTTTAATTCATTAATTTTTTTAAATAGATAATGGGACAAAAATATAAGTATCATGTAACGCTAAGAAGAAAAAAAAAAAGAATATTGCATAAAAAGAAAGAACACAAGTAACTTCAATTCCGTTTTTGGACAGTACAGGAAGCTCAGTAGCTTCTCATTTGTAATTCAAGCGGATTTATTCCCATTAGCTACAAACCCTAGTAACTCCAGAGATTACTCCATTTAAAGTTCAGAACAGAAGGTCCATTCTGAATAGATCCGCTGTGTGTGGAGAACGGCCAAGGGGATGGACCTTCAAAGCGGCCCGCATAACCCTCAATCCCCCTGCTCATTACAATTAGATGAGTTTCGCCGTGCATGGTTGCAATTTTAATAATCTTATTTTATTTTGGGAAAATAAAACAGATAGACATCGGAAAGAAAAACAGCCCCATGTCACAAATATTTCAACTGCTTTGCTGCTCAGCAGATAATGGTTTCCAAATGTTTAATATTAGATGCAATCACACTGAAGAAAAGGTACAGCTTTTCTTTGAAAACTGAGATGCTTGACTGTAGAGAGAAAAAAAAATCTTAGCTTGGACAAAATTATTCTTTTGCTTCATGAATCTTCACAGCTTTTCTATGCAATTGCATGCTCACAAGAAATGTGTTTGATATCTTAACATTAGTTTCCATTCCTTCATAATTCATTCCACCAAAAAGCTCTCATGAAAGCAGCAGGGACAGTCCTCCCTCCTCCATCCCCACCAATAAGCATCTCCTCCCAGCATGTGAGCTCATATTAGAGTCTGCAGGAGTGTGACTTTAACTGGGCTTTGATCACAGCCTGCCGTTTGTGTGTGTCAGAGAGCCGACGTCACCGGAGGAAATGAGGGATGAACTCTGGGTCTGGAGAGTCAACCCAGCCCATCACTTCAAAAGAGGAATGTCTTTCTTTTCTTGTCCGCCACTGATATAACATAAATGAACAGAAACAGGTCAGGATGCAAGGCCTCTGGCTTGTAAAATTGCTACCATTCTCTGTCTGGTCTTCACAGACCTAAAAGAGCAGCACGTTGGGTCAAATTAATTTTTTTTTATACAACCTCTTTATTAGATGTCACTACATGAAAGGCTGTTTGCTTTTTGTATTTAATTTTTTTTACAGTTTATATTGTTATTTTAAACAAAGAAGAATGCAGATATTCTAGATCTCAGGACAACAGTCTGCTGCTCTTTTATAATAAACACTCTGGGAAAATATAGATTTGTTTATCATGTAGGTATTGCTCATATTTATATTATTAATAATAATATTAAAATATGATATATTTATTTATATCATTAATACATTATCATTAATATGAAACAAGATATATTCCTATTAATATTTATTTGTTAGTAATTAATTCCAATTGACTTTAATTACAAATGTATATCCTCTTTTCTATTTACAACATTATAAAATATACTTCATATACTAAAATATAGGCTACTATATTCTGTGGCCTTCTTTTATTTATTTACTATTAGGGATTGTTTTTAAATACAATAATTGACTTTAATTTTAGCTAATGCCACAAAATTCCTAAACATTGTACAATTGAAAATAATTAATTTGTGTTAGGACAACATCATTTAATTTGTGTTGGAATTGTAAAATAACCTTAGGTTGTATTTCTATTTCCCAACAGGCTTTTCAAGGCTTTTGTAGACTGATGGAGTAGCTAAATGCTGAAATGAAGCGTTTTTGTGTGTTTTTGAGCAAGGGGGCAGTTGTTATTGTCCAATGTTATTAAAGACTGTGATTCTTATTGCTATCATTTTTGGGGCTACCACTGTGACAAAAAGTAGGCATTTTGGGACTAAATAAATTACGCGGGAAATTGAGTTTAAAAAAAAATGTTTCCAAATATTGTACTAGTCAGACAGTCCTGTATTGAAACAGCAAGTGGCGCCAAACACACCGTTAAGCAGCACATGTCCTGAGACTTCGTGGAAACTTCTTGAGAGGACTGAAGAAAGTCAAACTCCAAACAGGAGCGAGAGAAGCAGAGCAGAGCAGAGGACCATCCGCCTACAACATTACACCTCTGCGGACATCCGAGGCTTAGTAAAGTCCAGAAGAGCTCTGCATTTTCCAGCTATAACACTGACCTGTGAGAAGAGCTTTTGGTGGATGTAAGAGCGCTCAGAGGCAGAAGAAATGAGCAGAGGAACAGTGAAAGAGCCGCACGGATGCCAGCGCAACTTCACCCTGATCATCGTCATGCTCGTAGTCAACTGCGGTAGGCGATTAAACTCGTGCGTTTGCACGTTACTTTATTCATAATCGACTTAAGTTACAGAATTACTTTTAATTAAACCGAGCCTCATCTGTCGAGTTCACAGGAAACACTGAGCAGTCGAAAATATTTCTGATATTATTATTAGAAATAATTTGAGGAAACATGTCTCAAATTACAGCACAATGCCAACGTATAACATAAATGTGCAATATTCAATATAAGTAAATGAAATGTTTATTTGTATTTGTATATGTGCTGTAATGTGCACACTGTTATGTAAAGAGACATTTTTTTAAATGTCATGATGTTGAACAACTAGTTAGAGGTGTCATTTCATTCAGTAGTCCTCAGGGTTTTTTTGTTTACCTATTGACTCATGTTGCCAAAGGGCTATCTAAACAGTTTTTGTGTCATTGGAATGACAATAGAGATCTTAAAGTGCACTGATTTGAGAGAGTAACAGTCTTAAGCTCTCAGTTGGAGTCTCTTTGTACGGTCTGAGCTGCTTCATTTGCCTTAGAATAGCACTTTGACATAAGATAGCATCCAATTATACTGAGCAAAGAGCTTAAAAAGGTACATTAACTTCTATGTGCTTTTCATTATTTCCTAGTTTACAAGGATGAGACATATACCAAAGACCAACTTGAATGTAGTTGTACACTTTTGAGCAACTCTTTATTTAGAGTGTTTATGTTACATGAGTGGATGTTACTATTATTGATTACTGCAATAGTTAAAACAATAACAGTAATTACAGACAGTTTGCAAAATAATTAAGAGTACATAGTTCGCAATTATCAGTGTACCCGTAAATGCACTGCAACATGGACACTATAAAATAGGCTAATCAGGTTTAGTTTTAGGTCATATAATAATAATAATAATAATAAATTATTTTTAATATTAATGAGCATACAGCATATATACATTTACATTACATTTAGTCATTTAGCATATATATCATATATTATTTATATATACTTATATATATATATAACATTTGAAGATATTTATTTTTAAATAAGCAAACTAACGGTTAAGTGTGTGAAGTGTGTGAAACCCTAATCAGATTTCAACCCAAGCATAAATTACTTCAACTAAAAATATTTCAGTTGAATTGTCAGATTAAGTTACATTATATTACAGTATATCGGCAGGTTTGACAAATTTTACTGACAAAGCAACAACCTGCTAGCAAATCAAGTAATATTTTGTACTCTGACTTCAATGTTAGTCCATGACATGCAAAGCTTTCTGCATTGAGTTGTCCGAGGGGAATTTTAACAATTGCTCCTCATTTATAACTTAAAGCACTGACTAAGACCATTGGTGCTGTGGTTTGGATGGATTTCTTTCCAGATTCCCACTTTGTTCGTTGTGTGCCGGGATGTCTGTACTTTAGGACGGGAGACATGGACTCCATTTTATGTTTTGGCTTAGAGTTAATTTGACCTTTTATCTGATGGATGAGCTTTTTGTCAATATGTGGCTCACTTCACCTTGTCGATATAAATGCAATCGTGTTTTCCCATCTGTTCTAGATAGTATCACGGGATATTTTGTCACAAAATGTAAACCTTTTCAGATGGAGTTTTATAGACACTACGCTACATATATCTAGCTATGTCATATTTTTGAGAGCGGTGGGCAAAATAGAAACAGACGCCTACGAGGGAGCATTTGACTCGTCGTAGTAAAAATTCATTGGTTTAATCTGGTCTTCAAGTGTACAGTACAGTTACTCAAGCATCAAGGCTCCCGTCTTAAAAAAAACCTTCATAGATGTTGAAGGAATGCCCATTCAGCCACATGTTCTAACTTTGAAAGCCACGCAACTCTTGTGAACCATTTGCTTTTTGTTGGTATGACTTTATAAGTCTGTTTAATGTCAGATGCTTGTGTATATTATATCACAAGTTGTAATTTTTTCCTGCTGTTTCTTCAGAGTTATAAATCTTTATATCTGAGGTGTCAAACACAAGAAGTTACTGTGCATTTTATATTTTATTACTAAATACTGAAAGTTGGCTGGATTAAAAAACTTGGCTTGTCTTGTTTAATAAACAGAATGTGGGGAGAATTACATACTAGCCTACCAGCAGTTTTAACACTTTGATTAATTGCTCTCTATTACCCTATCTTTTGTGTAAGTCTTCTGTCAGAGCTGGATGTTTAGGTCTTGGATATGAGCTTAGAGAATGATCTGTGTATTTTCACTTGTCTTTAGTGATGGTGTGATTCAAGCTCTTAGTCCGTGTCTCTCTGTTTGGGTTTGTTTGTGGTGGAGTAACTGGCAGAGTTTATAGCCATTCAATTTCATTATCCAGCTTCAGTGACATCAGAGTGATGTAGAACATCATTATAAACTCACAAACTGGTGTTTTTGCAACCTGGTTTTTTTTACGGTGTTGCATTGTTTTTTTATTATTGTAAAAATCTTTCATGTTACATGCCTTTTTATTTTATTTTATTTTATTTTATTTATTTATTTATTTTTTATTCCCAAAATGGATGGAAAATCAATATCTTGTAATCTTGATAAAAATATGGAGGGACATCAGAGTAATGTAGAATATTGTTATAGTCTAGGTGGCAGTTTGCTGTAGCCTACTTAATTAACTCAATTATATGTATCTTTTCAATTGGACAAATATCGTATTTTTTCTCATTTATTTATTGTTTTCATGGTGTTTGTATGGCGTGTTTAAAAATTACAAATTCCATTTTATTATTTTTCATCATCCATTCCAAAGTGAATGCCAGCATCTGGAACAATATCATATTTATTTAATTTTGTCAGTATTTAGTAATCTTTACCTTTATATGGCTTGTGGCAGCATATTATATTGGGTTACATTCAGAGAAGTCTTACCCACCTTGTCCTTGGCCTTTTTGGCCTGAAAAATGCTAATGGTAAGTAATATACATCACAGGCCAAAAGGTCTGCAGTGAATATAATAGAAAATGAGCTGCCATTATTATCTAAGCGATCAGACGTCTGCCAACACTTATCAAATAATTAATTTCCCTTGCCTGCCCAATGTAATGTGCCAGGATACGCTACATTTCACATTTTAGAGGGTATGATGAAACATGGCTTTTTCATTTTAGCTGTAAATGTGTCGGAAAGTAAAGCCCTAAAGCCTGTTTACGTTGTATTAAGGTCTCAACTAACCCTCAATGCTTAAAGACTGGCAAATTTCTTGCCGCCCACAGTTGGGCCTTTGTACCTGTCACACTCCCAGTGAGCTCATAAATACCTAACCTTTACTGCCTGTTCAGTCGGAGATTGATATTTGCTTTAAAATGAAAATATATGTGCAAGTATCAGTCATCTGGGAGATTTCTCTCTTTTCCTACACACAGTGCTGGTCTTGACAGCGTCAGGGTTCTATCTCTGAGGAGAGCTTTGTACATTCATAATTCGGTCTCGCTGTCAGTCTAGGAACATTTTTTTCGCCTAAATAATGTGGCCTAGTAGGCAAAATCTAGCTCTGAAATTGCAGTAGTGCATTGAGTGATAGAAGTGGATGTTACTAAGCTTGGCTTACTTTGAAAAACATCGTTTAGGTGTTGAAAATGCTGCTATAATCATGCACCCACATACTCATTGCTGATTAAGCCATTTGTAAAGGATTCTTTGGCAGTGGCTTCCCTATGAGGTTTCAGTCTAATCTGGTTTTTGTTCGTTTATGCATGTTTTTTTTCAAATGCTGGTTCTTTGCTACACTGTACCTTGACTTGAACACTGAGGAACAGTTGACAGTTTTCACAAAGTGTGATAGACAGCTCAGCCTTGGCATGAGTTCTGATGTTTACCCATGCTGTTCCAAATGGAACGAGAAAGGCATAAAGGAATTAAAATTTGACACTTTGGGGCTCCAAAATGTCCCACTCTCACTTCAGCCTCACATCACAGTATGGAACATTTCTTAAAATTGCTGTTTCCTTTAGGTTATTTTTTTTATTATTTGAATGTTTCAATTAAAATCCAACTGGGTCCCTTTAAATCGGCGGTCTTGTATTTGGTCTTATATTTGCAATTGCAGTTGTTTTTTGGAAGTTAAAATAAGCCGTTTGTGTCTTCAGAGAAATCTATTGACACCAGCTGGCCATCGGGATTTCTTTGGGCAGAGGTGATCATGATGATCTGTAGAACCCGGACATGCCGGCAGGTGTTTGCTTGTATTTAGTATTTATATGCAGAAATTATTCTACACAAGTGTTTTGTCTGACCCGCACAGACTGTGGATTTTTGACTTTGCTGAAATGATTGAATGCTTCTTGCACTGTTAGTGGCCCAAGTGGGAGAAGTGTCAGGCTAACTACATTTTCAGTTCATGCAATGTGTACATGTGTGTTTATGTGTGTACTATGCACACGCTGGGAGTGTTAAAAGTGTGCAATCCACATTTCAGGAAATTACATTTTATGGGTGTTAGACACTGCACAATGTTAGCATAACATGTCCCTATTGCAGCATTCAGTTCATTGGCTGAATTTTAATTTTGGATTTATTTGTAATATTCAAACATGCTTAAATCTTTTGGCATTCTTCCTATAATCAAATTAATTTCATTGGCCTGCTCTTTCGGAGATGCAGTCAGCATTTTAAGTATGTTTTGATTGCTTTTGATTCCTTGTTTTTGGTAATTACTGTAAGTAGCTAAAAAACATATATCATGTAGATAAAAAATGTTCAAGACTGTGATGATTAGCTCTGTTAAAGTGATTTATGTTTAACAAGCTGACTTCAGCCACAATAATGCTCCACGTGTGAAATAAAAAGAATCAGAAAGTCCTCGCTGTCTTGTTTTGAGAGTCCCACTCTTTTCACAAACATTTTTTTTAGGAAAGATTGTGTTAACATAATATTATGCGCTGACAGCAACTCTTGAGCATTTTGAATTGTTGTGTTGTAGTTGAGGATTAGGATACCCGGAGTGAAGCCTCTCAGCTTTTATGGACATTTACCCACAAGCTGCAGTCAAACAAAG